TTTTTTTTCCAATGCAAAACAGCGGCTTTTTCCCTCAATCGCAGTAGCAATGGTTCTCTTCATCACAAACATCAAAACTGAACTTTTTTCCAACTACCAAGTCTAAAAAACAATTTTTAAATGGTTCTGAATTCTGAAAGAATGTCAACCTTTTGCTATCGTTTTCATATCATATTTCGCGAATCAAAATCGTACCACTTTTCCTTTCAGGGCATGATTGCCGCTTTCATCCTCACAGGTTCGTAATAGTCTCATTTTATCATTTTTCAAATATTGTTTTTGCGACAGAGAAGGGTATAACTTGGCTTGAATTTAGAAAAACCATGTCGCCGTAGACGATTTCCTCCGTATTTATTTCTCATATGGAAAAGGGGCTATTCGGAATCATCTTGTTTGATTATGCGTACCAGCTGAAGAACGCCGAACCCTGCAGACTCTTGCAAGCATACTGCGGCACAGCAACAGTTGACTTTTCCTAACTGACAGTTTATTGGCTTCCAAGACCAAAATACATAGCTCTTCGCTCATCTAATAGAGGTATGGGCGCACATGGCGTTGATCAACGTAATCGCTCTTCTTTCTTTATTCTATACTATTTGTAGAAGTATTGAGTTTTCCTCAAAGACAAAGCATAGTATAGTTACGAAACTCAATAGTTTTTTAAGACGACGACAAGAAAGACTGGTGTCATATTGTACCCAAAGATTTTCTCGTACGTTGAACATGATTTGCTAAAAGAAGCTTCGTCTTTGCAAAGAAGCGTCTGAAAAATGATGAGGAGCATCGTATAGTCATAAGACGCACTGTGTTATACTGTGTTAACATGATATCAACTCTGGGTATGTGAATAACATCAACTTCAGTTTTCTACCATGGAAAAAATAAGCGCTATGTGCCCCGCCCCTCTTGCCCGTCGGGAGTCAAAGTGTCGAAAAATGGACAACTCGTTAGGCTGGGTGATATAAGCGCAAATTACATCCTCTGCAATACCAACTCACTCTTCTAATAGTTGACTCCTGGAATGAATCTAGATACGTTAGCTCCAGCAACAACAACTTAGAAGAACATTTTACATGTTGTTCGTCTAACTGTTTTATGCACTAGACAGTCGATATCATTGACATTATTTTCATGAATGAGAAAACGTAAGAGAAAGATCCACAACACATTAAACTGTGACAAAACTTACTTTGCCCACATCTCCTAATCTCGTAAATCGCATACGACTATTTTCGGCCAGCTGTACCTGCTCAATTAAAGCTTTTTCCATCAGCGCTAACGCTTCTCCACGGCCTGTAAACAGCAATTATATTTCAAGATTGCAGCGGCACTCCCTTTCGAAAAATCATGAATTGAAAACAAGAGACTAATACGTTGCATCTTGAACCTTACCTTCAACTCCTGTTGTGCTTGATCCTGCGGAGACAATTTTCGGCTGAAGTGTTGTTTGTGATGTCGTTGCTTGAGGAGGAACTGGGGTAGATCTGATTGAAACAGGCAAACCAGCTCTTGCAGCAGCGATCATTTTGTCGAAGCCCTGGACAATTACAAATTACTTTGAGAACAAATGGAAGTTGTAGTTGTTCAATATGTTTGGACACAAACCAGAAGATTCGACCTTCAATATCAGAAAACTGCAGGAATAGCCGACTGTCAAGACTGAGAACAAAGAACACAGAGATGATCCTACCTTAGACTCTAGCAGATACTTTTTCGCCAACTCCATATTTCCTTTAGCTTTTGCTTGCATGGCAGCATGTCTGAACTCTTTCTGCCGCTCCAGAAGAAACTCAAGCTGAGTGGAATTTCTAGACTTCCCTGGCTGACCGGATGGAGCCAGAGGTCCCACAGCAGGTGGGGGACGCACTATAAAGTACAAACTTTAGATCAAAGTCAATGTTCTAAGTCACATTTTATGTACTATACTTCCGGGAGCAGGTCCTTTGGGGACTACTACAGGCTTTTGAGGTGGTAACGGCGGCATGTCCGGCGTGGAGGGAAGTTCAGCCACTGCGATTGGCCGTCCAGCCTTAGCATCACGGATAGCCGTTGCATACTGTTCAACCATTCTCATGTTCATTCTGCAACATGAGTATAAACACAAAATTGAATAGAGCTAAGACGATTACTGCACGGACCTAGCCTTTCTATCATTCCCTTCCTGCTTAGCCTTCTGTGCAAGCTCTTGGAAACGTTTCATACGACTTTGAAGTCCGTCTAAGAAGGTGGCTGGCTTGGGCTGTGTAGCAATTGCGGACACAGAAGTCTCTTTGCGGTAAGGAGGAGGAGACGGTGGGATTTCTGACATGTCCAGTTCATCAACGTCGGCCGTATCAAGAGCAGCCAGCGCCTAATTGAAAATGCATAGTTAACCAAGAAGATAAATACAAGAAAGTCTAAACTATAAAAATGGTAGCAAGGAGTTTTCCACGAGTGAAGTTTAGTTTTATATAGATCGCGATAGGTACGCTAACGTTGATTTATAACACCCGGCTTTCATGCAGATAAAAAATTTCAAATGTTGAAGAATAAGTCAAATTTTAATGAACTAATTTTCCACCTGATCAAACAGTTTGGCGGTTTCGACATAATGTTTGGCCGCAGGTTTGTCCATTGCAGCAAC